GGACTTATCTGAGCACAACCTACTTTGCTTAGATGCATACTAGCTGGCCTCTCCACTTTTGCATATAGCCATGCTAACTGTCTTATGCTGTAGGAAGTATTTTGATGTGTAGCACTTACCTCAACTGATGCTACAAAGAACCATTAGCCGCCTAACCAAGGCTGCACCTAGTCTGGAATAGCATAGGAGCCATGGTGATGGATGCGAGGCTTTGTTGATCTGTGTGGTGTAGACATTAACAAAGGGTGATGGATTGTCACTTAGTTGATCTGAGCCCTAAAATACCATGGATTGTTAGTTGATCTGAGACATTTCAGATGGTGTTATTGTTCTTGTAGGAGTTCCTTTTTGGCCAATGATGCAAACTATAGCAATCTGAGGTGGCTGTGGGTATTCTTCCTGTTGTTGCTTTATTGTCTTCTTGTGTTTCTCATGTCTTTCATCAAACCGTGGGATACGTCCATTCCCAAGCAACTGTTGTAGGCATGCCTACCGGATGGCTGGGATGGATGTGTCCCACGGTTCCATGGGAGTCATGAACTTGCCTTAGCAATTTGTGTTCTTATTTGCCACCTAGGATGATTGCAGTTTTTGACTGAGGCTGATACAATTGTGAGATCCTTTTCATGCCTATGAAGATAACAGTGCTAGTTTGAGTAATGGATTATGCACATTGTTGACCTTGGACTTGTGAGGTACTGGAGCATTGTTTCTTCTATCTTCTGCTTATGCTTCTCATGGCTGTAATCAAACCATGTGAGACATCCATGCCCAAGCAATAGCTGGCCAATTCTGATGATCTGATGGCTGGGCTGGATGCCTCTCATGGTTTCATTTCTGTCATGATCTTGGTTTTCTACAATCTATTTGAGGTTTGCTGCTGTCTATGTTTCTTAAGCTCCAAGTTCAAGGTCAAATGAAAAGGCAATTAAATCTGAGGCAAATCGATTGAACTACCTTCATTTTGTCAACATCTTATACTTGCTTTTATGTGTTTTTAAGGGGCAAATGGCTTGGTATGTTGTGTACCGTGGAAGAGTACCTGGGGTATATTCAACCTGGGCTAGATGCAATGCCCAGGTATCTGGTTTTAAAAACAACAGCTACAAGAGCTTCCCTAACAAAGAAGAGGCAGAAGCATCATACTTAGAGTTCATGGGTTGTGAAGATGATAAAGTTTTTGTCAATCCTCCACCAAAGGTGCTCAGCAACAAACCGGTGTTATTTGTTGTGGCTGTGGTGCAGTGTTTTCTGTTGCTGGTGCTCCTGTGGTTCGTTCTTGCTCGTTGCTACAACTGTCTGTGATGCTCAAAATGCCATGGCTTGGTAAGTTGCCTGTAGGGGAAAGTAGCCTGGGGTCTATGCTTTATTTCGGTCGTTTATTTTGATGATGCTTGAGTTTTTCATTGCTAAGCATTGTTGTAGCTGCCTCTAATTGTTTCATATTGCCTGTGATGGTTTCAAAATGCCATGAAAACGTGTGGAGACAATGACCTTGTGAGGAACTGTGACTTTTGGGCAACCAATCACGGCCTTGTTCATGATTTGCTAGGAGTACTATTGTCATGTTTATGTCATTAGAAGCTCCAAGGTCATTGTCAATGCCAAGCTTGTTGAACTGAGGCAAAGTTATCTCTATTTCCTTCTATTCTTCTTCATTTTTGCAATAGCTGGTGGTAACCACACCAAACTCATACAATACTCAGACCTGGGGCAATGCGGCCAACCAAACAAGAACTGGAATCACTAGTTCATACACCGAAACGGTGCAAACGGGGAACCAAACACGACGCTGCTCATCCGGTATCCTGTAGTCAGTTGCAACCAAACACACCCACTTGCATGCTTCCATCATGGCTGGGAAGAGCCTGCACAGGCCCTCCATCCCGGATCACCAATGCCCGAGCAACCAATCACGCCCCAAATGGGCCAAACCATGGCACAACCCACACGAAGCTACTGGCGGTTGCCGTGCTGCCGAGCGCATGCAGCTTCCATGCACAAGTTTTTTTTATCAGACACGCAAGGTTTTTTTTTTCAGTACCACTACAGTATATATATATGGAAAAAAATTTCTACTCCTAGGAGTAGTTACTCCCTCCTCTAAACCACGTACGTAAGGGTGCCGCACTCCCTTAGCGGGTCACCAAGTCAAACCGCTAAATCATGTATACGGTGGACGACGACATCTTATACTCCGGTATTTCTCCCGTCCCGTCCCGCGCGGACGGCGCTCCACCGCACAGATGCATGCATCCCTGGCCGTGACGGAGCCACGGCGGTGCCGTGGTCCAGCCCACATGGCCATGGCGGTGACACCCTCCCCCGGGCATCATGGCGGATCCATGGCGGTGGCCTCCCCATGTTGGATCTCGTGCGACGGCGGCCACTCCGATGGCATCGACTTCTCCCGAAGAGGTGAGGGCCGTGAGCAGATCCAGTCGACGGCGGCGATGGCACCTTCCTCCCCCGGCGGACGGTGACTAGGTAATATCCTATGCCTCTGAATCTTTTCAGTGCCATTCGACGACAGTACATGGTCTTGCCTGCTGTGATCCTTGCCATTCAACAGAGTTGGGAGTAGCACGGATCTCATACATTTTTTATTCAACAGGCATGATGTGCCCGATGCAATGGCGATGTTGAATTTGTTGTGCTTTGTTTCGTTTTAGGATCAGGGTATCCGGCCACTCTCCAATTACCGTATCCATCTGTACGCCATACCTGGAGGCCATCATGAAAACGATCGTGAAGCTGGACTTTCAGTAATCATCTGGGAAACCAGAGAATGGTGGTCAACAGCATGACGAGAGCTGCAACCCTGCGTTCTTTTTTCCAGATGCTGAGATCAAAGTGTCACTTGATAATTTTTCAGATCTAAGTATTTTTGGATACCTTTTTTTAGATTAAAGTATCACTTGATACTTCTTTCAATATTGTAATACCACTGGATACTTTTTTAGATAACAGTAGTATCAATTCATACCTTTTTAGATTAATTAAAGTATCACTTGAAACTAAGAATTACAGTATTGATACATGTTAGCTTCTGACGATGAGTATGTATTAATACTTCCTTACGTTATGGTATATACACGTACTTTTTCTAAAGATTGTATGTACATATACTGCCTAATTAAGAAGTATGTATTGATACTCTTACATATGTTTTTAGTTTCCATTAAAAAAAGTATAAATTCTGGTATGCACACATACTCTTAAGGCTGTATGTACACATACTCCTATACTAAGAAGTATGCATTGATACCGGATCTCTTACGTATGTAATATTTTCCAATAAAAAATTATATATTCTATTATACGATCTCTGAAAACCGCCATGCAAGCGGCCGCAAAAAATCCCGTGATTAACGCCCCTAAATGGGTTCGGCATGCAGCATGTCTGTTCATTCCCCTCGACCCGTTTAGCTTTCCATTGGCTGCTCAACATTAGAGGGAGTAACTGCTCCGAGGAGTATATAAAATGCAATATATATATATATATATATATATATATATATATATATATATATATAACATTCACAACACACACATGAGCACATCTTCCACTATGGGTTCAAAAAAGAAAAAAAAAAACAAATAACAGAAACGGACAAACTTGATCGGACTACGGAGGCATAAAGATGCTTTGCCTGCCGTGCTATTCAACAAATGGGCAGAACCATGCCACAGCCCACACGAAGCTACTGGCGGTTGCCGTGCTGCCGAGCGCATGCAAGCTTCCATGCACAAGTTTTTTTTATCAGACACGCAAGTTTTTTTTTTTCAGTACCACCACAGTAATACTGCTGCCTAGTATATGTCTCAGGACGCGGCTAACAAGAACGAAAATGCTGGCGTGAATTCCTGTATAAATATAGAACACGGGTACTGGCAAAACAGTCAGGAGAATGCTTCAATTGTTTTCAGTTCCGTTTTTTTTCATTATTAAAACGGTCCGAAGAATGCGTCAACTCTTTCCTGTCCCGTTTTTATTAAGCTGTTCCTGGTGCGCCGGTTCTGTTTTCCTGGTTCCATTCTGTATTCGGATTTTTCCTAAGAAAACAGAATACGGGTGGGAAAATATGGATACAACATCGTCCGGAGCAGGATTTTCCGCTTCTGTTTTCATCCCTATCGATAAAGATGAGGATGGTGCTCCAAATGGGTATCCACGGATCTCTCCTAGTTCAACTAAAGAACTAATTAGATAATTCCTTCCCTTATTTTTGCATATATAGTTTATTAAGTTGGACTAGAGGAGATCGTTTGACCCCCTATCCTTACCTTCCGAGTATATCAAGTTCGTGGACCAGCGAAGGATTTTATATAATCTACCTGAAAACTGAAAGCCGAAAATATAATTGACAACTGTATGACAGTCACAAATGATTTTTTCTTCTTTTCAAAGCATCCAAATAGGTCCTAAGGCCTGCTGTTTCAGGTAATATAAACAAATGGAACCCAAAGGCACAACTGGGAAGACAAAGTAAACCTCGCGTTGCAAACTTCAGCTAGCAGTTGGTACCTAAGGAATGACACATGAGCAGGATTTCAACTGCTAGCTAGCTAGCTAGGACATAGATGGCAAGCAGTATTATTGTGATTCCAAATTAACCATTACATGCTGCACCAAATGCAGCAGTGTTTATATTTGCTCATATAGTTTCTTGATACCGGCCGGTACTGTCTGGTTTACAAGATCAAATGACAAATACTAGCTCCAATGGTCACACGCATCATGTCTGGACGACATTATTTATTTATTTATTTGTAAACTAGATAAGATTAAAAAAGGGAAAAGGGTACCTGATTTGGCAAATATATGCATGGGCCCCTAACCCGACAAGTTTTCCAGGCCACGCACGCCATATGACCATAAACCATTGCCCGATCGACATTATTTTGTGACAACAAATTAAAAGGGATACAACAAATAACATATATAATTTGGCGAAGTCTAGTATGGTGGTCGACGACGAGCTCATATCCGATCCCGATCATTGAACACGAGTCCGATCCCGATCATTGAACACGAGGGGGACAAGTTTTAGTGCATCTTCTGGGCTCGTGAATCCCATCGACTCTAGCGTCCTGTTTTGAGGCCATCCTTGGTAGGCGTGATCCCTCCAGTCCAGCAGTACTCTTGATATTACTGGCCACATCAATCTGTACTTGAATTGCTCGGTAAATGCCGTCCTGCCTTCATTCCAACCACCTGCTATGGCTTCGCGGACAGGTTCCATCCCCGCTGAATCGCAAACCATGATCATCAGGCCCACCAGTGACCGCTTGGCTTCCACACTACCTCTACCTGTGAAGCGCGATAGCTCGCGCACGGCTTTCGCCATGAAGGTCTTGCCCAGCCACTTCCGTAGTACCACCACTGTAGAAGTTTTGAACTATATTCTCCTGGGAGCTCCCGACGAAAGCCAGGCTCGTAGCAGAAGGCTCGACGATCCTGCATGTTGATGAAGCCTATTACGTCCAAGTTGTCACACCGCATGACTAAGATTATCGATGACGTTTCTTCCACGCCCTCCTCCGCTTCCGCTTCCAGTTTGATGTGAAACAAACTTTCTGGTTGGATGCGGTCAGTGACTTTGCGGAGCACTTTGTTGTTACTTGTGGATGAGAGATCTGGATGATCAGCCACGAGATCCCTGCAGCGTGGGTGGTCGGTCACCAATCTACGCAGCTCAATGATGAATGTACTGAATCCTTCTGCATCATTCCCAACCATGTAGGATATGTCAGGTTGCCAGATCGTATCCATCTGCAGTACATATGTAGTAGTGATCAAGCAAAAGACTACATATGACATATCTGATGATTAGCGAAAAACAAAACAAAACAAAACAAAAGGAAATCATAAGAAATGTGTTGAGCAACGAGTGCTCAGTCATGTTTTCAATGTTTACCTTCCATGGTCCCGGGCCATATTGATCACAAGGGTACAAGGCGACGTTCACTTCAACTTCATACCCGTCCACTTCAAGACGTTGACTCGACCAGCTACTGCAGTTGTCGAAGGTGAGATTAATATTATTGAAACGCGGATTAATACTTGCCCCTTGGTTCTTGGAAGTTTCAATGCTCAGGTCCACCCCTATGTGAAGCCGTTGACCACATGGCACCGCAACCACGTTCCTGGCCAGCTCAAGGGACCGCACCAACTGATACATGACGCCCTGCGGCGAGTCCGTCATTGGAGAGAGATGCTGTGCCGTCTCCTTTGTACGCGAGAAGAGGATGCTCTCACCTTTGAAATCACCAATGCTAGCGGTAATAACACCGTAGACGCTACAAGGGCTGTTCCCATCTTTCATCCGCAGCTTCACCTGCACTGTGGCCTCCAGGGCGTTGGACATCACCGCATAGGTGATCTCAACGTTGCGGCCGGGGCCTGAAGAGCTTATGGTCCAAGTCATGGGTCCTTTGTCAACTTCCCTGGCGTACTCTGGGTCATAGCAGTCCCATTCCCATTTGATGGAACCGCCGCCACCGCCATCGCCAGTGCTGGTGTAGGGTCCTGGGATGTCAATTTTGATGGCAAAGCACCCGTATGCCAAGATGCTTGTGCAGGGTCCCGTGAGCACCAAATCAGCCATTGTTCCCTACAACCATGCACATTGCTTCATTAATAATCTAATCTATTATTGCTTTCATGCGAAAAAGATTCATATAGATTATGGATACCAGGGATTAGTTAATAGACATGATCTAATACATGTACCTTTTCTCCTTGTTCCTTCTTCCTATAGATGATATGGCCTCGTTTCCCGTCGAAGACTATTACGGTTGTGCCAAGGACCCCAAGGTCCGCATGCATGGCCAACAGCTCCACCCGAGGTCGGTCCTTGGCGCCGTCAACCTTCTGATGTCGCGACCAAGAAAGGTCCATGAAGCTGCTGCTGCTCTCGGCGCCGCCGGCCTGATGAGGTGGATCCAAACGGTAGTTGAGCACGAGGTAAATGTCTCGTAGCAGTGAAATGGGGTGCGGGTTGGCATATCTTCTACTCTTCCATGCCAGCAGCTGGCGTGACATCCTCCCATATTTATTCAACACGTAATCAACCATCAGATCCTGGTTGAATTCCCTGTCGGAAAATACCGTGTAATCTTTCTTGCTCCTGCTCCACGAGCTTGTAAAGAAGTTGTAGACTGGATTCATCCTTGCAGACTCGCAGACCATGAGGATCAGCCCCGCTAGTGCCAACCTGGGTGACTTCATAGGAATACGATCGTCCACCCAAGCTGGGAAGCACGACAGAACGTGCACGGCATTCCTGGCGAAGTCCTGGCCCGGATTCACGTGCTCCAGTATTCTCACAAGACCACATTCAGTGTCGAAGTCCAGTAAAGATCCGTAACCGACACCCCAGCTTAGGCGTTGGGGATTGTATTCATCAACTGGAAGTATATCGGCAGATCTATCTGGGTTCTCGATGAGCTCAAATGAATCTCCTTGCTGGTTCATGAAGCCACAGACATACAAGTTGTCGTCCCGCATGATTAGGGTTGTCGACATCGTTTGCTCTCCCTTCACTGCTTGCAGCTTGACGTGAATCCACCTCGTCGGCTGTTCAGCACGTTGCTTGGCGAGCACTGGGTGTTCTCTGGTGGAGGAGAAAATTGATCTGTGGTGGCGATCAAAGATATCCTCGCGGTCTGGATGGTCAGCGAGGATGCCACGGAGATCCATTATAAATTCAGTGAACGACAGTTCGTCTCCGATGGTGTACACTACACTTCGATGCCCTGAAACCATTTTGGCCTGCACGCATTACCCGAGAGTTTAGTTAAAAGAAGGAAAGTGATACTCCCTTCGTTCCCAAATTATAAGTCATTTCAAGAATCTTGGAGAGTCAAAGCATCTCAAGTTTAACTAAATTTATATAATAAGATAATAACATTTATGATACCAGCTAAGTATCATTAGATTTTTTATTAAATATATTTTCATGCTTAAATCTTTGTATTTTTTTCTATAATTTTGGCCAAACTTAAGATGCTTTGACTCTCCAAGATTTTTAGAATAACTTCTAATTTGGGATGGAGGGAGTAACAAATGTCTTCAATGTTTAGCGCAAGCACTATAGTAATAGATTTACCTCCTGTGTACCACTGATGATTTGTTCTAACGACGACGGAGCAGTAATAGATTTCTCCAGAGCCTCTTTGCTGGTTATTATTTGCTCCGGAGGGTGACTTATTGGTCGTGCGATCTGCAGTGGATTAGCAGTATATAATAATCATCCAGTAGAGAACAAGATTATTAGTATTCGTTAAAAGAATAAGAGATGATAAAAAAATCTCTTCAATAATATAATGTTTACCTCCGGGTACCAGGTGACTTCCACTTCCACTTCCACTTCATTGCCGTCGTCAGTTTTACTGGAACTAATTCCATTGGCGAAACGGAGAGGAACATTATTCAATTCAACTTTCTTGCCATCGCCAGTTTCAATCTGGAGGTTCACCTCTATTTGAAGCGCACTGCCGCATGGCACTGCAACCACATTCCTCGCCAGCTCAAGAAGGAACCACGAGTCGTCATCGGTAGGGGAGAAACACTGACGCGTCCCCTTTGCACACCTGAAGAGGACGCTCCTGTATTTGTCTTCAAAGCCGTCGATACGTGCAGTGATCTCACCACCAATGCCAGCAGTGTTATGCCCATCTTTGAGTCGCAGCCTGACCTGCACTGTGGCCTCCAGGGCATCTGACATCACAACGTAGGTGACCTCAGCTACCTCGGGGCGCATGTCCGGAGCGCAGATGGTATGGCTCACGGGTAGTTGGTCGACTTGGGCGGCGTACTTGGGGTCATAACAGTCCCATTCCCATTGGATGAGACCACCGGCATCGCCACTGCTGCTACCGGCAGTGGCAGGTGGGATGTTAATTTTAATGGCGAAGCACCCGTAAGCTGAGATGCCTTTGTAGGGTCCAGTTAAAACCAACTCGACCATTCCCTACATGCATGCATTGCTTGATTAATATGGCATGGTTGTAAAAAAGATTCATATAGCAGACATCTTACTATTTCTAATCCTCCCAAGATACACAAAGAAAGAAAAGATAAATTCTGCAAAATTTTCGCAATGATCAAAAACAAATTACCTTTAATTTTCTATACTCTAGGCATCATCTTACTACTGCATACAAATACTCACAAGAAGCACTAAGAAATAGTGTCTATGACCATATGGTGTTTGAGATTTGTTTGGAGTAAACAATGATAATAATGCCCCCTCACATTAGAGCTTTAGGCCTATAAAATGAGCTAAAATACTGTAATGTTTTTAGAGCTCTAAAGTTTAGAGAAGGGAATCCAAACAGACCCTAAGTTGACAAATTAGTAAGACATAATATATGTATACCTGTTCTGTCTCCTCTTCTCCTTCCTCCTTCCTATAGATGATCTGGCCTCGCCTGCCGTCAAAGACGACGATTTCCGTGCCTTTGACATGAAGATCAGCATGTATGGCCAATAGCTCCACCCGAGGTCGACCGTGGCCCTGGCATCGTAGATCAAGATCCCCGTTGTCACCGGCCTCCCCGGGTTGGCTAGCAGAGCCATCGCTGCTGTCACCATCACCGGCCTCTCCAGGTTGGCTAGAAGAATCGCCACCACTGCTGCTGGTGTCGTCTCCGGCCTCATCGGCTTGGCTAGCAGGGCCGCTGCCGCTGTCGGCATCGCTATCCTCCTCTGATTTGCTATCACGGCCGCTATTGCTGCCAGCATCGCTAGCCTCCTCCGATGATTTGCTAGCAGAGATGCCACCAATGCCAATGTTGCAGGCCTTGTTGTGTTGGATTTGTGGGCTCCCATTGCTGCCATTGTTGAATCCTTTTACGCTCGCGGCCACCTCCGCTTTGGCTAGGAGGGCCGCCACATCCTTTGGTATTGTGGCCACCTCTGCTTTGTCCAGGAGGGCCGCGACCACTGCCAGTGTTGCCGGGCTTATTAATAGAATCTCCATCGTTGTTGACATTGCCAGGCTTCCCACGTTGATTCTTCTTCTTTTCTTCTTTTTTTATCCTGATCACTTGTATGGGTGTTGTTGAGCACGAGGTAAAGAGTTTGTAGCTCCATAATGGGGTGTGGTTGCCAATTCTGTGTGCTCACATTGCTGGCGTACCCTCGGGTCTTCCATGCCATTAGCTTGCTCGACATTTTCCCATGTTCCCAGACGTTCTCAGTCATCAATTGCTTGGCGAATCCCGTGCCGGTGCTCCACCCACGTGAAAAGGAGTCGTGGGGAGGATTCATCCTTGCGGACTCGCAGACCATGACGATCAGGCCCGCCAGTGCCACCCTGGGCCTCAGATCGATACCAGCCACCGGATTTGGGTGGCTCGACAGCACGCGCACGGCGTTCTTCGCAAAATCACGGCCCAAATGAGCCGCCTCCAGTTTGTGCACGGCATGATCATTACTTTTGGCTCCCAGCATGGACATGTAACTGACGCCCCATCTTGAGAGTTCGGGATCGCGTCCATTAGTAATTGGGAGCAGTATATTGGTGGCTGCATTCCGGTTGTCGTCGAGCAGCTGGAACGAATCTCCTTGCTGGTTCATGAAACCAAGGACGTACACGTTGTCATCCCTCATGAACAGGGTTGTCCACGACGTTTCCTCTCCCCTCCACTGCTTGCAGCGTGACGTGAATCCACCTCGCCGGTTGTTCATCAGCACGCTGCTTGGCCAGCACTGGATGATCTCCGGTTTCGGAGAGATTTGGGTCTTTGTGGCCGCCCAAGATATCCTCGCTGTCTGGATGCTCGGCGAGTTTGCGACGTAGATCCGTCATGAATGAAATGAATGAAATTTCATCTCCGATGGTATACACCAGTTCAGCATGTACTGCAACAATAATTAAATTAACACATGAGAAAAATAACCCAATATATACATGTACATGCACGCACGCATAGACCAAGTTATAGTTTTGAACTTAATTTGTTGCAAATTAATTACCCACGTATCGTCTCATCAGAGATATCAATAAATTATTACTCACTTTCGACGTTGTTAAAAGTAAACTAAATTAACTTCGAAATATGCATCAAAATTACTTACATTTGTCGTTTTTAGAAAAAGTCTCAAAACGACCTTTTTAACATAAACTATATCATTATGAATGCGAGACCTTATGAGTATATCGATTTTCATATCAAATATATGCCTCAAACTATGTTTTGTTGACAGCAAAAATGTTAGCACACGTGCAATGGGCTCCAACATGAAGTTCCCGACGTCAAGACGATCAAGAAATACATTTGGATCATCAAATTTGGAGTTCAAACGAAGAAAGGATGATTTTGGGGTCTGTCTGGCTTCTCTAATCCTGTCTGGCAAGGGCCGTTCAGCCCCGCGAATACTGGCTAGGCCAGTTTGCCTGGTCTGAGACCGCTCCGAGTTTAGCTCGGTCCTAGCTCATGTTTTGACGTGGAAAAATTGTAAATTATGTCTTGGATATGTTTCTTAATGGGATAAGGCCACCTCCCTCTCTATATATTGGAGGATCATGGCCAGTTGAGGGATGCAACTTCCAATCGATAAAAAAAACATCTATTACCCTTTTTTATTTACCCTAGCTTTTTCAACCCCTGCTGTTCGGCGCGTCTCTCGACGAGATTCGGTGGCGTTCTAGGTGGCCCTTGCCGACCTTAGGACAACCTCAATGTGCCCCTCCCTGACGGATCTTCCCGAGAGGTGTTCTTGAGCTTTTCAGGCGAAGAACGGGCATCGAATCGGCTCTACCAACCGGCTGGTCGGTCTTACTGACCTCGGATGTCCTTGTTGCGTGATAGGTTGTGTGCGACCTTGGACAAGCTAATCTTTGCTGGTGTGTGATTCAAATCGACGTCAACACACTTTTTGGTGGCTCCATTGGGAAAAGAAGATCAATCTACAAGCAACGTGTCTGAAGAACACAACAAGAAGGAGGGTGATCCCACGGATCCGTTGAACCCCGACAATATCATTCATCCTACGACGATTGATCAACTACTAGAGGATCTCCGTAAGATGGTGGAGGAGTAGAACGCTACTAACCTACAAGCCGCTCTTGCAATTTGTTCGCTAGATCGGCGAGGAGGGGTGGCAAAACAATTCAAGGTAGTCAATCAGGTTGCTCATTCAACCACTACTGAACCCAAGGTAACACCACCCGTAATTAATACATCTTCTGTTGTTACCATGGAACAACTCAATAAATGATGGCGGATTGTGATACGGCTATGATAAATACGTTTCATAGTATGCAATACAATGCAAGTCTTAACAAACCTACGGATTATGGACCTGTTATGCCTAGTGTATCGTATTAGTGTCTTCTTCTCGATCTTAAGACCACGGATCCTTCCTTTGGCATGCCGATGTACTACTTTAAGGGTGATATGATCAATTAGCCGACTAGAGGGGTGAATAGTCTTTTCTAAAACTAATTATCGCCGACTAACTTGAAACAAATACGGAAATAGACTAATCGGTCTAGCCAAGACTACACCCCTCTATCTATGTTCACAAGCACCTTACAAAGATCCTAATTTAGCAACTAAGGTGCCAAGCTAGAGAGAGCTCACCTACACAAGTCTTCTTTGGTAAGGTCACACAAATCTAAGCAACTAGTACAACAAAACACACCAGAGCTCCTACTCATACTAGTTAGCAAAGCGCTCAAAACCTAAGCCACACTAGCACTACTCAACTAGCAAAGCTACACAAGCTAAACTAGAGAGCAACAACTACTTAGTTACATAAACTAAGTAAGGCTACTTAGCTACACAAGAACTACAACACCAGCACAAGTATGTACAAGTAAAACAAGCTAGTGATAAGGATTGCAAACTGTTGTTGATGGTCGTTAACCCTCAAAATAAACCGTCAATATAACATGAAAAATGAATAAATATGATCACTAACATAGGCATAGGGGTTTTAACTAATAAATTCCACAAGTGTTGGTGAATCTGTGTCTACAGAAGGATTTAATCAGAAAACAGGCAAAGTGGACCTATCCGTCGGAGCAAATCACGATCATCGTTGACGAAACCGACTTAGAGGACCTCCAATCCACCATCCGGGACAGATCATCAAAGATTGGGCGGAGAGAGGAGCACTGGGTGGGGCCAGCCGGCCCATGGGGCCCGCTGGTCTGCCTCTCTTGTCTCGTCGGTGCTCCACCGCCTTTAAGGATCAATCTTAACCGTGTATCAAGGTCGGTTCTTAAATTTATCGTGTGCGAACAATGTGGTTCTTAAATTTATTGTTGAATTAATAATGCTTATGTTCCTTAGCCATTTTTGTCTATGCTTAGCACAAATTGACGGACTAGTGTGTGCATAGTACTTTTACAAGAAATACAAAAAAACAGGGATCAGCGGTGTGGCAATGATATATCATATCATAAAAATGCAATAATATTTTGAAAATGGTCATACTTTAAAGGATTGAATGCACTTCAAAGAAAAGGGATTACCGTTGAGCACGAGGTAGATGTCACGTAGCTCCGAGTCGGGGCGCCGTTCCGCATAGTTTCCTCTCTTCCAATGCCTCAGACGCCTTGACATCTCTACATATTTCCACACGTAATCTGTCATCAATTGCTTGGTGAATCCTGTCCCGGTGTCCCAGCCACGTGCAATGGTGTCGCGCACAGGATTCATCCTTGCGGACTCGGAGACCATGAACTTCAGGCCCACCAGTGCCAGCATGGGTGTCATCTCGATGCCATCCACCTCGTGTGGGTAGCGCGACAGCAAGCGAACGGCGTGCGTGGCGAAGGTCTTGCCCAGGTTTGCGGATGTCAGTCTATCCATGACTTCCTCCTCCTTTCTGACGCCTAGTATGCTTTTGTAGCTGTTGCCCCAGCCTAGAAGTACTGGCTTGTATTCTTGTGGGAGGATCCGACGGGCGCTTCTCTTTCGGTCGGCAAAATCGTAACAGACTCCAGACTGGTTGATGAAGCCGATCACATCCACGTTGTCATCCCTCATGAGTAGGGTTGCCGATGACGACGATTCCTCGCCCTCAACCACTTGCAGTTGCAGCTTGATGCGAATCCACCTCACCGGTTGTTCAGCACGCGGCTTCGGGAGCAGTGGGTGTTTTCGGCTACTCGAGATATTTGGGTCCACGTGGCGATCACAGATATCCTCACGGTCTTGGTGATCAGCGAGGATGACACGTAGATCCTTTATGAATTCAGTGAACGACGACCTGTGATCGTCAACGGTGTACGACAGTCCAGCTGGAGGTTGATCCTCCGCCATTTCGACGTCCTGCAGTTGTGATTTATTAGTTACTAGTGTTTAGAATAGAGTGCTTTGATCGTAAAGCAAGATACTCAGACAAATAGGAATGTAATCAGTAGTTTCATTAATCTCTGTTTGCGAACGAGGGCTCGCTCAGTGGTGCACCAACCACCGGCGTTCACCAGGGTCTTTACCCATCTCCTATATATAGCCACAAGCGCACATATACGAGGGTGCTTGGTTTCCGGCCACAGCACGCTACTCCCTCCGGTTCTCTAAAGCAAGTCGTTTTGAGATTGTCTTAAGTCAAATATTTTAAACTTTGACTACAAATAACTTCTTTTGGGTTGAGTTTGAAAATATGAAAGTGATGTAAGTAGATTCATCTCGAAATGTAGTTTCATAAAAGTATATATTGACTATATTTTATAAATATTTTATAGCAAAAAGTAGCGGTCAAAATTGTTTTTTAAAGACCGTGTCGATGTCCAAAACGACTTGCTTTATAGAACCGGAGGGAGTACGCCACAAAGTCCGGCAGCCACAGATATCGAAGTGACTGTTTGGTTGGTGGATACGCGTAGGCAGCCACGGAAAACCGTAGTGCAAATCGGATGGAATCTCGCCGCACTTTGTGGCGGTCATTTTTTTCCGCCCCAACTGCGGCAACCAAACAACCCCTATATGCTAATATGCCACAATGGTCAAGTGACATGTTGATCACGCTCGGAGTCTTGCGATCCTCGGGTACCTTTTAGCTGCGTTCGGTATCTATGTGTAGTCAGTGGCGGATGCATGTTCAACCTGTGGGGTTTTGATTGCTGGATGGAGTGTGTAGTTGTAGGTTTGTGTGTGTCCATTGTGTGTGAGTGTGTGAGCTGTGCGTCGAACCAGTGTGTCCAAGGGACGTGTCCGTTCGGTTCCTGTCTACGAATGAGATCAGCGGTTCGTTTCGCAACAACCAGTAAAAGAATGAAAACTAACAATGAATTAAATGCCTTTAATGTTTGGCGCACAACATGTACTGTGGTCGCTAATCCCTCGAAATGTTACCTTCACTGGTGCTTCCTGATTTGCTGCAGCATCACAGATTCCCAGGTTGCCAATCGCTGGGCTACATCTACTTGCTGGAACCCCCGGCCCGACCTGCAGCTCACCGTCACCGGCCGACTTCACGTCCAACATCTCCTGGTCAGGCGTATCTCCCATGGTGAATTCCTGTGCCAGTACATGAATTTAGTTAGTTCCTGCTACTACTATTCACTGAGTGATAACGGGTAAACCTAGAATTTAGACCATGCATGTTTGTCTTTACCACAGCTGTTGCAAAACATTAATTACCCAGTGTTGCATCAGAATAATCATTGTTTGCCATATATTCTCCTTATATACTCCCTCCCTCAGTCCCGTTACTCTCCCAAACATTTTTAATTTTGACTAAATATATAGATAAAAATATTAATATTTAGAGTTTGGTATCATTAGATAGATCGTTGAATATACTTTTATAATAAACTTATTTGACGATATAAATATTGCTAATATTTTCTAAGACCTAGTCGAACTTAAAAAAAGTTTGACCAACATATTTCACAGATGGAGTATACCTTGCGGTAGCTCAACCTTGTTACTAAGGTGGTATGCGGAGGGAGAAAGAAAAGCAGCAGAGGTGCAATACAATGCAGCACCTGTGCTAGACATGAAAATTTTGGCACCGAAGCTTGAGTTGGCAACAGGTTCCTAACATGAAAAATCATTTTCTTCTAGAGAAAACCAAAGAAGACCGGCACCACCTGCCAGAGTGCTGGGCAAGACCGCAAGAGACGGATACAGTGGAAAGATTGTTTACTTGTTTATACTTGATGGTTTCCTATACATTAGAGTGAAATTTCCTAAGTTAGACACTCTGACGTGGCATTATCTTTGAACCGTTGTATCTTCCAAACGTTAAGGTTGCCCCTAGATATCAGCCGTACTCAGCTTATTCTCTCTTACAGAACACTATTGAATCAGCCGTAAAACGTATCAGCCAAACAGCCCCAAGAGTTTGGCTACATCATGTGGGATATGTACTCTGTAGTTACAACTCTGGCATTAACCAAATCGCTGCCATGGAAAATTGGTACATTAGTACACATAGCAAACAGAGAAATAATTAGTAAACCTCAAAACTATGTGCATACATATTACTATGAACCTACATATTACTATGAACCTCAAATATTCTTTGAGATCCATGCACATGAGAAAACAATCAAATTCTGTCAGGTGACTGGTTGAATCTCTCTCTTTTTTAAACGCAAGTGGCCCTTTCAATTAAAAAGAAAGAGTCATATATACAGAGAGGGGCAAAGAGCCCAAAAGACACTGGCTGCACGCCTCAAAACTATGTGACTGGTTGAATCTCAGAGAAGACTAGAGGGTGATGTCATAATTGCACATATATTGAAGCTGAAGATTCCAAGCCCAACAGAAAGTGTGGTAATGAGCCATTACCACACTTTATGTTACAAATTAGACGACCCCAACGTAGGCTCAAATTTAATCCTTACCAGACACATACTAGGGAAAAATAAATCAAAGAAATTATCACAGAAAATCAGTAACATCTTGACATCAACTTCATATAATCTAGTAATCATCAGTGATAATGATAGCCATTAATTCTGTTCTGTTTTCAAAAAAAAACTACTCGTCATTATAAATAAAATAGCTCAAAGTAATCCCTTTATTTGCATCTAAATTACACACATGTAAATATCTTCGGAGACAAAAATATTGTTCACATCATTCATGGATATAGATATACATTATATCTAAATACATTTTACAAATATTATGTACTACAAAAGCAGGATGGAGTACCAAAAGAGGGCAATTGAAGCATGATTTATGCTGATTTGGAAACCACAAGGCATCTTACTATTAGTTGCAGCAGGATAACTATGCCGCTCTTGTTCTTCAAAAACAAAAGGGAAGAAGAAAAAGATTTTGAGTCCATTTTTCCTATTGTCATCCTGCGCAGGCTAAATACATTAACGTAATTCAGATGTATCATATACCCCAGGTGGCGGATCTAGAAACACGTGTTAGGAGAGACTTATTCTTATTATTTTGGACATTTAGTCTCTTCTTCTAAACTTTAATGAGTATAAATTTGTAGCCAGCCTTAGGAGCGGCTCCATGCTTCTAGCGACGGTGGCGGGGGTTCAAGCCCCGGCCGGCCCGGTACTAGATCCGCCCGTGAGTACCCCCAAAATCCTTCGGTTAGCAGCGCATGCGCACCCCATAGTGATTGGGCGCTGGTAAGGTTTAAGAATGTATGCACACAAGATGTAGGAGCTGGTATTTATCAATTAGAAACACATTGGAGATATTGACAATGCAAAAAGCGAGAACTAACCGGGTAGTAGGCGATGAAGACGGGGGAGACCTCTACGCAGCCTGAGGCTGCTAGCCGCTGCGCGCCTTCCGCTCCCAGAGATGGGAATGGGGATGGCTTTCGTGGTGGACGCAGGGAAGGAAACATGTGTCGAGAAATGTATCTACCCCTGGAGCTCCATTATTGAGGCGCGGTTTTCAAGCCATCGAACCACGTTGAACCGTCGCCATCATGTACGATAAGGCTGCACCACTGCATGTTGGAGGGCCTACTGCTCGACTTTGTGTCTGCCCAGACAACAAAAGCTGCACCACTGCATGCTGGAGGGCCTACTGCTCGACTTTGTGTGTGCCCAAACAACAAAAGAAATTCACCAGCCAACCAATGTAGCGGACAGCCGGCCGCAGAGTTTGAACGAACGGTTCTGGTTGTCTTGTCCCAGGCTTGTTCCAGCCAGCTGAGAATCATTGCCCCTCCGTCGCAGAAACCTAGGGCGCGTTTGGTTCTCTTCTGGGTACCGGCCGGCTCGGCTCTCGGAAGACAGGCTTTCACGGGCCAGCAGCGAGCGAGCGAGGCTCCGGAGAAACGAGATCCGGTTTCGTTTCCCGGGAGCCAGGTTGAGTGCTGATTTCTGCACGCGAAGGCACGAGCCAGACGGAGATGCAAGCAACCAATCGCCCTTCAGTTGCACGCGCGGAGCCTGGCTAGCGGTGCTGCAGCCAACCAATCACTCGTCGAATGCATGCGTCGAGCCTGGTCAGGCCGCATACAAGTGAATCCTTCGTCCCTATCCCACCGTGCCTGCCACCTTCCCCCACACCCGGCTTCCGGCCGCGTCGTCGCCACCTCCCCGCCCACAGCCCTCCCCACGCCGCTGCTCCACAGTCGCCTCCGCCGCCCTCTACGTACGCAGGCTGAGACTGCTAGCTGCTGCGCGCCTCCAGTCCAAGGGACGGGATCTTATGCCTTTCGTAGTGGACGCTGAGAGAAGTATGTGTCGAGTTGATATGCAGATTAGCCCTGGCCAGCTAGTAGAGATACATGTGTGTATACCTATGGTCCATGGACTGCAGCTAGCCCTCGGCCACGATTAACAGAGGCGGGCCTCATAAGAGGTCCGTCGGCCTCCATTTTCGGAGGTGGGCCACCGTAAATTAATTCTAGGAGATGGTCATTTTCTACCATCTTCGTAAATCGATTTTACGAGACGGACAATCTTGACCGTCTTCGGAAATAAAATGTCCGCCTCTGTAAATGCATTTTGCAAGACGGTTAATTGTGACCGCCTCCGTAAATGAAAGCGTCTGCCTCCAAAAATCTTCAGGCATTTTACGAGGCGGTTGGATTTTGTGACCACCTCCGTTAATGTCTGGGCAGTGTCTCGCAAAATTATTTTTTAGTAGTGTTTATACATTTTAACTGAAACGTTTAGCATGTCTATATTGACAATACAATCGTTATTGCACATATAACTCTTTGATTAGAAAATTCAAACATCTTCATGGCCTTTGAGATTTCTTTGGAGTAATAGTCATTATAAGACTTAAATATTAATATTCTCTTAAGATCATCACTACTACGCATCCAAGATCTTCTTTCAAGGTCTACCACTGACCTTAAGCAAGTGCTGCGGGTTTTAAATAAGTATTTATGCTATTGTGGTACTTAAGAGTGTAGTCTACGACTTAATGTCCTTATTTTATAATGTAAAAAAATCAGTGTTAACAAAAGATATAATAAGCACAAGGATAAGGTCCTTATTTTTATAAAGTTAAAAAATGAGTGTTAATAAAAGATATAATAAGAACAAGAGCTGCAATTTAATTTGAGGGAAAAAATCTTACCAATCAATAATTTAGATTCATGACATCATAACATCATAACATATGGGCTACAACAAGAGTCATCATAGTTTAAGCTAAGGTGTCAACTAAATGCATATTGAAGATACATAGAGGTACCAAGAAAATAGAAAAAAATATGGATATGAATGAAAAAACATATAAATTATAATTAAGTTTATCATAACTAGACAGAGACTACGGAATATCTATTATGTATATTGCGTTAGAAAAGGAACAAAGAGAAAAACATACAATTCAATATACGTACTTTTTATTAGTTACTTGTATTAAACAATAAGTGATGCTTATGTTTCATAAAATCTAGCCCATGTGAGAGCACCGTAAAGCTGGGAATGGTTTGGATTGAAACCGGGTTACGTGGTTTGGTTTTACCTTTGGGTCGTGTTTGGATGGGGCAAAGCAGTTTGAGCACACAAACGGTTTGGTTTGGACTTATTTCAGGATTCCTACAGTTTGTAACCAATCGATGGTGCATGCTACGAGAGAATAGCTAGCTAGCTAGTCAAGAACATCTTCATTAGGTCAGAGTAGACACCACCCGATAAGGAGCTAGATCGCTCGAGGTAGGGCCTAGCCGACTTTTGGGACGGCCGACACTTAGGGTATGTCCACACTCGGACCTTGTGTCTCTAGCGATGAGCGCGATACGCAAGACACGTCGGAGGAGGAGCCTCGCCAGGAGCACGCGATGCTGAAGACACGCCAAATAGGGTTCTTGGAACCCGAAACCCCACATGCCCGGGAGAGTCCCTGTCGAGGCGTGCAGTGCCTATAGGCTGCCCTATCTGGCCTGGCCGCTCTAGAGCTTCGCCATCGTCCATCCACCGTTCATGCAGCGCCGACGAAGAGCAAGGACAAGTAGATGGACAGACATGGTAAAAAGAGATGTTGTAGATTGATTTTTATGATGATTGTGTATATTGGGCACCTCAATTGGTCGTGGACCTTATATTTATAATAAGGTGGGGTGGCCTTATCCCTCAAGAAGTTGAAAACCCCTTCCAAATCGCGTCAAACGCGTTTCAGATCCGTTTCGGACCTGCCAATGTCGGCTTAAGCCGACTTCCATAAGCTCCAGACTCTAAACGAGGCGATTCATATATGTTTTTCGATCAACGCGATGAGAGGAACGCAATGGTGCAGTCAGTTCTTGCATTTGAGAAACTTAGGAAAGTCAGCTAGGCGACTTGGGGAGTCGGCTCAGTCGACTCTGGCTAGGTCAGCCTCCTGAAAAGTCATTTTCTTCGCTCGGGCTACAAATGCGATGATCTAAGTATGCTTTCTGATCGTCTTGACGATAGAAACATGATGGCAGAGTCTATTATGCTTTCTGACAGTCTTTTTTACCGACTCAAAGCATATTTTTTCTACTATTTACAAAATGGCAGCATGCAAACACAAAGCATGTTTGGTCAAGTGCAAGTCAAGCAAGCAGGAGATCGATCATGGACCCCTCTCAGCTCAGTAACTATCTTGTTCTTGACCAAATTAACATGATTTAGGGTGAGAAAATAACACGGGAAATTTGCTCTTAATTATGCACACGATCATCACAAAAATCTATATCTGAATATTTAAGGACAATCCTTATCTCAAATTTCGTTCATTTATCTGAACATTTTGGTAAATCCTCGTCTGAAACTTGTTTCCCTTATACTTGAACATTTTACGGAAAAGTCGAAACCCTTATCTGAGTAGTACTATATCTGATCTGTCACGTGGGTTCTTATCACGTTCATGATCAATTCCCACCAGGTTGCCGGGCCCACCTGCAGCCTCACGTGATCCCGCACCTGAACACCCGCGGCGCGGGCCCGTGGAACTTGGAACAGCTGTTTCGAGTTCACAAGAGTAGTTCAGAGTTCAGACTCGTCGCGCTCGCACGCCGTCCCTCGCGCTGCTCGTCGATCCATCGCCAGCTCGACTTCTGATCTCGCAGGCGGAGGAGCGCGCCGGCGCGATGGCTCCGGATCCGGATTTGGCCGGTGGCGAGCAGGCGGAGACGCCCGACGACGAGGTCGACCCCACCGGCCGCTACTTCCGGGTAAGTGCTGTGCCGTCCATCCGCCGTCCCTTCGCATCTGCTGCTAATGTCGACATGTTGTTTAGTCTCGCCAGGTTGCCGGGTTGGTTCATCGCCTGTTAGCGCGGGGGCCATTCAGTTCCTGAATTTTGAATCTTTTTGCATCCTGCGCTGCGAATTCGTCTGAAAATTGCCTGATCTCTGCGGTTTCGTGCGTGCATTGCAGTACAAGGAGGTCTTGGGATCAGGGGCCTTCAAGACAGTGTACCTCCCTTCCCTCTCCTCAGCTGTTTATGCAGTAATTCAGTAGCAAATTAAATGACAGTAACTTGTTTCCTGAATTTCACACTGGATATTGGAGAAATCACAAAGATTCAGCCTTGAATATTTGTTTAAAAATACGAAGAAAGTAAGAATGCTTTCTGTGTTTGTTGATTCACGTGATCGATTTGGTGCCAGCTACAAAGGCTTCGACGTGGTGTAAGTCATCGAGGTGTCATGGGCCAAAGTCTCCAGCACAAGCACATCCTCAAGGTCTACGCCTCATGGCTCGACAAGAAGAAAAGGACCGTCAATATCGTCACTGAGCTGTTCACGTCCGGCAACTTGAGAGAGAGTGTAAATATGACATAACCCCTCTTTGTATGTGCTGCTACGATGGAGTGTGATTGATTTTACTATTTGTGCCTCGTACATTCTTTTTGTGCCATGGTGAATGTTCAGTTATTTACCAATGGCAAACAAAATCTGAATAACTCTTTCTTTTTCAAATTTAAAGTCTGAATAGTTTATTGGTAGTTTTAGTTTTCACTTTTCAGGGTTAAAAAAAATTCAGAGTTGACTCTTTTTGCTTTCCATTCAGAAGGGAAACAGCTGTACAGAAGTAGCTACCTTCACCATCCCCCTTTAATGATCTATTCCATGTTATGGTGTGGTTAGGTACCATACGAAGCACAATAAAGTTGACATGAACGCTATGAGGCGATGGGCCAAACAGATACTGACAGGGCTAGGCTATCTGCACAGCCAGAAGCCACCAATCATACACAGGGACTCGAAGTGTGAACATTTTCTTCAATGGGAACCATGGGAAAGTTAATGCCATGATGCTTATCAGCTATGGTACAATATTTTTTTCTCACGATAAAATAGCATCAAACGACTTATCAGTCACAGAAACCATCAGCCAGACACCTTAGATCGGGGACTTCAGTTTGGCAATGGTCATGCAGCAGAGGAAAACACAGAGTATACAAGGTACGGTTTTCTACAGGCCACGCTGCCACATATGTGGTGAGCTTGATATGGCTATAGTAACATTTAACGTGAAACACAGGCACCTTAGAATTCATGGCACCAGAGCTCTTTGATGAAAACTACAATGAGTTGGTGGATATATACTCTTTCGCCATCGTCCTTCTCCTTGACTTAGTCGACACCGTCTTCATCACCTATGTACTCTTGCTTCTTGTGCCCAATGTGAGCCGCGCACGGCCGGTTCTCCGGCCCCTAGTCGCTTGGTCCAAGCCTTCTCATCTAGAGACTTTTCCCTGTGTGCCATTATAAAAGATCGCAATCCCCTGTGTGTCCCTGGAAAAATTCAGCGGTCTTCAGCGCCACTATTCCAACTTTTTCGGGTCCTCCATGCCACTTCCGTCAGTTCAGGCTCTAACGCCGTTAAAGTGCAGGTGTGAAAAGACGAAAATGCCCTTAAGTTCAAATATGTTATTAATTTTTTTTGAGCATCTTAACGACTTCAAATGAAAAAACTCGAAACTAGAAAGTTGTAGATCTCGTCGAGATCTATAATTTTCATATAAAAATTATTTTTATTTAATTCCGCAAAAAAAATGATTTGATATGATTAATATATCTTAGAAAAATCATCATTTTTTTTTGCGGAATTAAATGAAAATAATTTTTATATGAAAATTATAGATCTCGACGAGATCTACAACTTTCTAGTTTCGAGTTTTTTCATTTGAAGTCGTTAAGATGCTCAAAAAAAATTAATAACATATTTGAACTTAAGGGCATTTTCGTCTTTTCACACCTGTAGTTTGACGGCATTAGAGCCTGAACTGACGGAAGTGGCATGGAGGACCCGAAAAAGTTGAAGTAGTGGCGCTGAAGACCGCTGAATTTTTCCAGGGGCACAGAGAGGATTACGATCTTTTATAATGGCACACGGGGAAAAGTCTCTCTCTACCCTTTACCGCTTCCGCCGCACTTGACCTTCTCTATTGCCGTTGATCGTTTTGGCGCATCGAACATCTGCACATTTACATGCCAAGAGACATGATGCACATCACACACAACATAACTCAACATGACACCTCCGGTTAGTCATTAGCATAATCAAACATGTATGAAATTTGATTCAACTGGAAAAGTCTCAGACATCTCATATCTGTGTCGATCATTCACAACACACGCATGAGCACATCTCCAGGTTCAAAAATGAAAAAGAAAAACAAATAACAGAAACGGACAAACTCGATCGGACTACGGAGGCATAAAGATGCTTTGCTTGCCGGGCTATTCAACAAATGGGCCGAACCATGCCACAGCCCACACGAAGCTACCGGCGGTTGCCGTGCTGCCGAGCGCATGCAGCTTCCATGCACAAGTTTTTTTTTTTATCAAACACGCAAGTTTTTTTTTCAGTACCACCACAGTAATACTGCTTGCGTAGTATGTCTCAGGACGCAGGTGATCTAGCGTAGCAGTATCAAAGCTGGAAGCGACTAACAAGAACGAAAATGCTGGCGTGAATTCCTGTATAAATATAGAACACGGGTACTGGCAAAACAGTCAGGAGAATGCTTCAATTGTTTTCAGTTCCGTTTTTTTTTCATTATTAAAACGGTCCGAAGAATGCCTCAACTCTTTCCTGTCCCGTTTTTATTAAGCTGTTCCTGGTGCGCCGGTTCTGTTTTCCTGGTTCCATTCTGTATTCGGATTTTTCCAAAGAAAACAGAATACGGGTGGGAAAATATGGATACAACATCGTCCGGAGCAGGATTTTCCGCTTCTGTTTTCATCCCTATCGATAAAGATGAGGATGGTGCTCCAAATGGGTATCCACGGATCTCTCCTAGTTCAACTAAAGAACTAATTAGATAATTCCTTCCCTTATTTTTGCATATATAGTTTATTAAGTTGGACTAGAGGAGATCGTTTGACCCCCTATCCTTACCTTCCGAGTATATCAAGTTCGTGGACCAGCGAAGGATTTTATATAATCTACCTGAAAACTGAAAGCCGAAAATATAATTGACAACTGTATGACAGTCACAAATGATTTTTTCTTCTTTTCAAAGCATCCAAATAGGTCCTAAGGCCTGCTGTTTCAGGTAATATAAACAAATGGAACCCAAAGGCACAACTGGGAAGACAAAGTAAACCTCGCGTTGCAAACTTCAGCTAGCAGTTGGTACCTAAGGAATGACACATGAGCAGGATTTCAACTGCTAGCTAGTTAGCTAGGACATAGATGGCAAGCAGTATTATTGTGATTCCAAATTAACCATTACATGCTGCACCAAATGCAGCAGTGTTTATATTTGCTCATATAGTTTCTTGATACCGTCCGGTACTGTCTGGTTTACAAGATCAAATGACAAATACTAGCTCCAATGGTCACACGCATCATGTCTGGACGACATTATTTATTTATTTATTTGTAAACTAAATAAGATTAAAAAAGGGAAAAGGGTACTTGATTTGGCAAATATATGCATGGACCCCTAACCCGACAAGTTTTCCAGGCCACGCACGCCATATAACCATAAACCAGTGCCCGATCGACATGATTTTGTGACAACAAATTAAAAGGGATACAACAAATAACATATATAATTTGGCGAAGTCGTAGTATGGTGGGCATATCCGATCTGGATCATTGAACACGAGGGGGACAAGTTTTAGTGCATCTTCTGGCCTCATAATTCCGATCGATTCTAGCATCCTGTTTTGAGGCCATCCTTGGTAGGCGTGATCCCTCCAGTCCAGCAGTGTTCTTGATATTACTGGCCAATTCTTTATGTAATCCATCAGTTCCTTGGTGAATTTGGTCCCGTTGTTCCAGCCACCTGCAATGGCCTGGAGGACAGGATTCATCCTCGCTGAATCGCAGACCATGACTATGAGGCCCAGCAGTGCCCGGGCGGGGTTGTCGACGCAGCTCAGTGATGAATGTACTGAACCCTTCTCCGTCATCCCCAATGGTGTACGAGATGTCAGGTTGCCGCGGACTCATTTTGTTGATCTGGCAGTATATATGTGGTGACGAATCAATACTCGACATAGATATCTGATTAGTCAAAAGAAAGCAAGGAAAAATGTAAGAAATGTCTTCAATGTTTACCTCCTCTCCTGGTTCTGAGGAAGCAGCAGGAATAAAACCTGGGTACCAGCAGGTGTGACGTCAACTTCAACTTCGCCGCCATGGACTTGGTGACGTTGACTCAAAGTTCGTTCGGGGAAGCTGAGAGTAACAGTAGTGTTGAAATGCCGCTTGACCCCTTGGTTGTTGGAAGTTTCAATCTGCAGGTGCAGGTCTATGTGAAGCACCCCGCCATATGGCACCGCAACGACAGACCGAGCCAGCTGAAGCACCCGCGAGTCGGTAGGAGAGAAACGCTGAGCCATCTCCTGTGTACGCCTGAAGAGGATGCTCTGCTGTTTGAAGTCACCAATGCGTGCGGTGATATTACCGTGGACGCTACAACTACAAGGGCTGTCCCCATCTTTGATCCGCAGCTTCACCTGCACTGTGGCCTTCAGGGCGTTGGACATCACCGTATAGGCGACCTCAACGTTGCGGCCGGGGCCTGAAGAGCTTATGGTGCGAGTCATGGGTCCTTTGTCAACTTCTTCAGCATACTTGGAGTCGTAGCAATCCCATTCCCATTTGATGGAACCACCGGCATTGCCAGTACTTGTGTAAGGTCCTGGGATGTCAATTTTGATGGCAAAGCACCCGTACGTTGAGATGCTTGTGTAGGGTCCAGTCAGCACCAAATCAACCGTTTTTTCCTACAACCAGACATTGCTTGATTAATATTACTAGTCCATCAATCCGTTCTAGCACAGGCCAGAATCTAAAGATATATAAGCATTAGTTACCGTTTACTACCTTTGACTAATAAAAAATTACTTATATTAAGTTGTTATTTTTGCTTGTTGTTCATTTTCTAATATAAGAGACATAGTAGATGTTCTGTAGTTTATATCCATTTATTATAAACTTATCAATTTCTTATCTATATGTTCATTTCATCCATATCCATGGATTTTGTTTTGCATGGCACGTCTATATATCCTCAATATGTAATTAGTTGAAACCTTAGCATAAACTAAGATGGCTCTTGTTACGGCCCATGTATTATGATGTTGGGAATCTAAATTTCTTTTTTTTCAAATTTTATTCTTATTGATTGCTACCGATTTTTTTATTTGCAAGTTAAGTTGAAGTTCTTGTGCTTATTGTATTTTTTTTATTAACTCTCCTTTTTGTAGGTTTTAAAAATAAGGATTTTAGGTCATAGACTGCATTCTTAAATACCACGATAGCATTAGCAATCATTTGAAACCTGCATGATGTCGCATAAGATAAGTGGCAGAGCTTA